CAAATGATTGGGAAAAATTGACAGAAATGGATTGAAGATGAAGAGACTAATGCACACCAAATTAAGTTAAGAAGAATAAATAAACAAAAGACAACACTGAATATATTGATTATGTTAAAACAGTCAAAAAAAAAAAAAAAATCAAAGTAGGCAACAATAAAAAAAGGAAAATATGTATAAAACGATAATGTAAAAAGACTAAAGCAGATGTAATATCAAGCAACAATAATAAAACTCATAAAATGATTAAACACTGCATAAAAGACAGAATGAATAGATATAGTATATAGTTTGTGTTTTAGCATCATGTTAACAGGATTCTGGTCATCACACACATGCAAATGAACAGTTTGTCACACAGACACAGAGACACACACACACACACACACAAAAAAAATGACCTAGAAGATTTTTTTGTCGATGTCAGCGTAGATGAAAAGCTTTGTTTTTATAATACATGGTTTATCTGTGGTTGGGTGTTATGAAGTTGGTGCTACGTATTGACTGATTGGCTGATTGGACTGCTCTGTTTTCTCCGTCCAAGTCTCTGCCAAGTTTCCCTCCAAGTAGAGCCTGGAGATTGCCAAGAGTAAGATAAGGAAGTTAGAGAAAGACTCAGTTATGTGCTGCAGCCTGTGTTCGGCATTAGCTGTAAGCTAGCTTGCAACCAGGCGGAAACCTCAAGTTCTGGAAAGTGAAGCCAATGCTGAAGTACCAAAAACTTGCATTCTCTGTAATGGCCATCAGGGGGCGACTCCTCTGGTTAAAAGAAGTCTGATTGTATAGAAGTCTATGATTTATTACCTCAGTAAACATTGTAAACATGAGTTTGTTGTCTCAATCGCTAGTTTCAAGTCTTCTTCAGGACAGCATGATGTTCATTTAGTAAATAATGGTGCCAATTAGAGTAAAATAGACCATAAAGCAGGGCATGCTTTCGGGCGAGGCTACCTTGTGATTGACAGGTTGCTACCAGAGGTGTATAAGGCATTTATTTGTCACTCCTCCGCAGTCCAAACATGGTCACTTCTGCTCGCTGGTTGCAAAAACCAAGATGGCGATGGCCAAACTGCTGAACTCTAGGCTACAAAACAGTAGTCCACAAACCAAAAGATGACATAACGAGGACTACGTCCACTTCTTATATACAGTCTATATATGCTCACAACTAACAGTGTGTGTGTGTGTGTGTGTGTGACAGATCAGCCTCTGACTTATCTCAGAGCTCTCCATGAACTTCAGCCCTCTCGTTTTCCCTCTTGATTCTTTGCCTTTTCTTAAGTAATGCCAGTAAAGCCCGAGTGAATTTTTGTTGAAACATTTGCAAGTCACGCAAAAGTGTCTTCGCCTCAGTTTGCGCAGCCCGGGGCACATTTGTTACCGTGCATCTTTTCCTTGACTACACTGTGACAACTGCAAACCTTCTGCTAGCTGCAGTCGTTGCTTTCCGCAGTGAATGAAATAACTTAAACGTGGAAACTGCACACCTCATTATTAGATGAAATAAAAGTTAAAATCCCACGAACTAACGATAGCTGAACTATCAAAACATGCACGGAGGGTATCTACGACCGGACTGCTGTCATTCCCATATAAATCCATTTTAAATGAGTTCCTAAATTGGACCTGTAAACTAAATTTACTGCAAATCCCTGGTCATGTCCTCCAGTCTCTATTCAGTCAACAAAGTTTGGCTTCACCAAAAGGCCTTCAGCTGACCTCTTTGAGGAAATGCCCTCTGGCAAGAACTTTTACTCAACTTTAAATTGAGGTTGAAAGAAGTACACTTCCTGAGGCTATTCAACTCTTGGATAGTAAACCTGAGGCACATTAAAGGCCCAGTGCTATTCATCAAACAAGATTGTTTTGTTGCCGAAGGTTGGAGGTATCGGCCACAGAGATGTCTGCTCTCTCCGATAAAATGGGACTAGATGGCACTCGGCTTGTGGTGCTCAAAGCACCGAGAAAATACATTTGAAAAGCTCAACAGCAATAAAAAAAATACACTGGGGACTCGTGGTATTTTTAGAAACATGCTTGTGGGCGACTCATCGGCTCCCTTTGGACACTGGCGGACAGCGTTTTGGCCGCCCCCTGCCATAGAAAACGCATGCCAGCTCACCACAGGTCAACACATCATTATATTTTTCCATAAAACTAAATTTACGGCATCAAAATCATTTGAACGATTGAAAGACTTTAAGAAAAGTTTTGTTACAATTACAGTGAGCCGGTATGAGTGACAGAGCACCTGCATGGTAGGCTACTTTGCTCATGCTGTGCTTTGAGTCAGAATGGTCCTGATGTGTGAAGGTGTGCGCCGTGACAATCTTTGACTGAATTCACAGGAGCGCATGAGGAGGCGGGTGAATGCCGCTGCCCTTTTGTTTTGCTGCCCTTTACATGCTGAAACACAAAGATGGATTCTGAGCAAGGAGCTGCTAACACTCATCACCGGAGGAGCTGTAAAGAGTCCAAATGGCATTTATTTCGGCAGCACTTCCACAGACCGAAGTGTATTCAAACATGGCACACTTTTTCCTTTCACAGTTTTTAATAGTCAGCAATTCATGGGCACGGGAATGTGATGATTTTCTTAAGAAATGCTGCCTTCTGCACTTATGGTGAGTCAGAGGGAAGCAAAAATATATATGTGACCAAATGATTATAAAATGTACCGAGTATATAAAATCAGGTTTGATAGTGAGAAATGAAGCAGTACTCTCTGGAAGGCTTTGTATTTGAACCACTGAGAGCTTATCTTACGTTGTGGATGTTATTGTCTGTAAATCCAAACTCACCTTCAGATGAGTTTGGATTTCAGGCCTGCACAAAAAATCCTGAACACAAAAATAGTGAAAAAACAGTTTCGCCGGTCTAACTCCACAATTCACTTTTCAGCAATTACCTTTATGAAATGCTAACCTACACGGCAGAGGCTGGGAACAGTTTTAGTGCACAATACTGTTAAACTGACCTCACTAAATTTAATGATTTATAAGTCAAAAGTGAATTATAAACGTACTCTTTTCAGAGAGGTTCGCACCCCCGCAAAAGAAACTGAGTTGATCTTGTTGATAAATGCGGAAACTAACACTGTTTAGACTAAGACAAATAAACTAAAAGTTTAATTAAAAAAATGCTCTTTGGATCTGTCTGTTTGGATACAGATCTGAGATTCACCAGGGGAATATGGGGGGAAAAAACATAAATGATTCACTCTATAAAGATTGAACTAAATAATATATATATCTCTCATGAGGTAACGGCCAACACCAACTTTGGCTCCAGAACTCAATATTGCAGTGGGTGTCTTTTTCTGTCTATAATCCTATCGTGGGTGTCTGATGTTGGAGCTACACTCTTTAAAATACTGACTGGTTCAGTGCTTTATTATATTGATTGACACATGAGTTTATGATATTGCAGAATGCATAGTTTCAAAGCTGTGGCAGTATTATTTGTTGTTGTTATACTCTAAAACAAAAGTGGTTAATAAAACACTGTAAAAGTAAAATTTTCCATTTTTGTTTCTCAGACATGCCATATAGAGAATGTGCGGCTATGGTTTAGACCACATAAAAGAATGTGAGAGCCGGTTATTTTGCGTGGGCCATGAACTCATTGTCTATAAATGGACAAGAGAAGCAACCTGTCGACCTGAGACAAAGTACACGAGTCCGCTGCGGAGGGAATGACAGCAGGACGGCACGAATCGGATCTCAGACCATTTGATCAAAACGCGATCTGACAAGGAATTATTAATTCACTGATCATGGGCTGAAAATAGGAAGCCCAGATATTCAGGTCCATGCCATGTAAATACAACCTTCAAAGTTAATTAGTTGAAAGTTATTTTTTCTCTTTTTGGTCCAAGGGGTAAAGCTTTTGCTCCAAAGGTCTGTATACGTCTGGAGCCTCGGTCATCAGAGAGATCTCTGAGCTCGCTGAAGAATGTGTGCCATGGTCAATACTGGGGCTCTGTCCAATTATTCCTCCTCGTCTTACTAATCATAAATACATTTTCTGTTTTACCAACAGCAGTTAAAAGCATGAAATTGGTTTCACACAGTCTGAAGTCAGTAACAGGTTATAGGAAGCATCTGTAACAATGATTCATGATGAATGTTTGAGTGGTTTTATATGAATGTAGATTGTGTTTTGTCTCCCAGGGTTAATATTACAAGTCTTCATGCATTATGCAATTGTTTTGTTTTCGCCCAATCTCAAATGATATAAAACCGCACTGTTGACCTGCAGAGATTAATTATGCATGGTAACTATTGAGGTACGGCAAAATGACAAATTCACACGTGTTTCCTGTTTCTACGCGATATCCAGAGTTCACCTTTGTTCATCTTTGGAGGAGCGGATGTGATCCGTCGGCCAGTAAAAACACTTGCATTGTGTTTGGAATGACGTTGTTGTTCTTGTGCAGTGGTGGCCAATCTGTTTTGATTGAGTAAGGAGTCACTGACCAAACAACAGTAAATGCCTTGTTTTCAACCAGTTACACTGCAAGAAAACCTCATTTACCATAACAAAATAACTTTCTTTCAAAATATCTCTTTTAAATGTCAATACTTTCAAGCTCAGTGCCCACTGCCCACCCTATTTAGCGCCTAAATAATATAATAATTGATGGCCTCCATGATCGAACTTCAGAAATCGTCGTTGTTGTGAAAACGATTAAACATATGCTGCGACCAAATGTGCTATTTGGCTGCCTGCCTCATGATGAATCGGAGGAGAGACAATCAAGTCATCCGGATGCTTTTGAGGCAACAATGTTGTAAAGGAAACGTTAAAGTAACGTTAGCCGGAGGAAAAGCCTGCAGAGCGAGGTGACGGCCACTTTCTGATTCATTACGGTTTAAGATATTGCTGTGTGTGTGTGTGTGTGTGTGTGTGTGTGTGTTTGCGCTCGCGGGCGCGCGCGCAGCAGCAGCTGCTCCCTCCCTGACTTTACGCTCTCTCGTATTCAGTCCTGCAGTGGCGGAGCCGGCAGGAGCGCAGACATATGAGGAGTCCGATCAAGAAGAGCAAATATATTGTTATACCCACAGCCAATCTCTCCGCAGTTTGAGACCCACAGACGGATTATTTAAAGTGCGTGTACCGGCTGCTAAAGATTCAGGTGCAACTTTGCAGCTGTTTCTGTTTTGTTCATTTCTTCTTGGTGCAAATCTTCAGCCAGCACCTGGCATGCGAGAGGATCCGCACATTATCCACAATATCTGAGATATGGATGACTTTTCTCTGAGGGTAAGATCATTATTTGAACAAACAGCTACTCCCATCTGCCTTTTATCAAACTAGGATTCAAATATGTCTTTTGTAGGATGTGGCTGTGGTGGAAATGACAAAGTTTTTGTTTGTCCTTTTTTAAATGCCAATAATTTGATGTTGCTGGACTCTCTTTGTTCATAAAGAAATATCTGCAAAATGAGATTTTTATGTCCCCGGTGACACTCCGCCATCTGTGTGTAATCAATGAATAATTCATATTAAAGCTGTACCGCAAACATTGTTCTTTACCATTCTTAAAAATGACAGTAAGTATCGAATCGTTTCCTGAGCAAACCTTTGCTTCTCTTTCCTGGAATGTGTTATTCCCTGTTGTTTGGTCTACAGAGCTATTAATACAGCCTCTGATGTCTGTGATGTTTTCTCTAAACAGATCTGATAGCATCCCCGTGATGGACTGAAGGTGTTAGGAGAAGGAAGAAGAAGAGAGAGAGGGAGTGAGGAGGGAGAGGAGGGAGAGGTCATGATGTTTGCCTTCCTTGAAGGTGAGGAAGACTAGTCTATTAACAGCCTGTGGGGATAATCGGGTTCACTTCCTGGAGGAATTATTGGGGACCGGTGCAGAACAGCACCATGACACCAGCCGACTCATAGAATGTATGATTTACAAAGATGTTGGACCTGCAGACCACATGACTGAAACCTGAAATGATGATATCAGTAAGGATTCTGGATCCTGATTTTGCTGTTTTGCTGTTTCCCTCTGCCGTGTCTGTGAATGGGTTTTAATGAGGACCGAGGGAAACCTGTACAGTGACCCCCACAGTCGACAGATTCTCATATACCTCTGCAGCCTCCCCTGCTGTGGTTTCGTTCCCGCTGGCGGAGCAGCATGGATCCGGACCGGCCATCGGACTGGAGCTCAGTCCAGCCCAGCTTCTCTCCGCTGCCGCAGCACGACGGCTCTCAGGAAAGACTCAACCACACCTACAGCTTCCACAGCTCCATGATGCTGCCCTCCACCTTCAGTTCCCCCACTGCCTCCCTCCGTCAACCCTTACCCTCTCTGCTGCCCTCCTCCCTCATCTCCTCTCCTTTATTCCCCACCACCTCGGCCACCCGACAGACGTTCACTCTCGTCCACCAGCCCTCCTCCTCCCTCCCTATGTCCCTGTCCACCTTTTCTGCCAACGACCTGGCCGACCTGGAGAGCATGCTGCTCTGGACTCTCCACGAGCCCAGCACGATCGCTCTGACCATCATGTACTGTCTGTCGTTCATTTTGGGATTCGCAGGGAATTTGATGTCCCTGCGCGTCCTCACCAACAGGCGGAGCCGGCGGCTGGCCGGTGTGAGCGCCACGCGCAGTCTCCTGGTGAACCTGGCGGTGTGTGACCTGGCGGTGGTGTGCGTGTGCATGCCCATCACCCTGGGCAGCCAGATCTACACCGCCTGGGTCTACGGTGACCTCCTTTGTCGAGCGGTGCCCTTCACGCAGGCCGTCTCGGTCTCGGCCAGCGTGTTAACGCTGACCGTGATCAGTGTGAACCGCTACTACAGTGTTCGATCCCCGCTGCGAGCTCGCTCCATGTTCACCCACCGTCGGATCTTGGCGACCGTCGCCGTGGTGTGGACAGTGTCTTCGATCATGTGCGCTCCTATCGCAGTGATGAACCGGCGACGCAGGATCAGCTTTGGGACTTTTGCCGTCCTGGTCTGCGAGGAGAAGTGGCCTCAGCATCGCCTTAAACAGGGGTAGGTTCTAAATGTAGCAGCAGATCCTCTGCTCTCCAGCTTTTTGTCCAAATACAGTGAGTCATTAGATGCTGTTGGGCCATGGTTATGTTTCATCCATTACCATCCATTAGTTTTTGTTGTGTCCAGCTCTGTTTTGCAGTAATTGGTTCTCAAAAGTCACAGTGAAACGGGGGTCAGAGCGCTTAGCTCCTGTTACAGTTCCAAATGTTGGATGACTCATCCGGCACTCAGGGGCGTTAACAAAAAAATAATCCAATCAAAATGAGCGTGGAGCTCGGGCGCCATTCATCTGCATGTACTGCCTACACTGCAGTGAGAAAGAGCCGGGCGAAAATCTGCAAAGTTTCCCTTTCATCTCCCCCTCCCCCTCCTCCTCTTGATCTAACAACAGGTGAGGGGTGTGTGTGTGTGCCATTGAGGGAACTAGAGGCTAAGCTCAATACGTTGTCTTTTAGCGATTGTCTACTAGTTCGTAAAGTTTGGTTTTGTGTGTATTTTCTCACATAGAGACCAACTTGCCTTTGAGGTTTTTAAATGCTGTGCTTGAGGAGCTCAGACGGTCAAATTCAGCTCCATTTTGTACGCAAAACAGTGGTTTGAGAGACTTTCCTTTCTTGTTTTGTTGTCCTTAATCACGAGTTGTCAAGTGACTCAGACTGACGTCTATCGTGTTCGCTCTGTAATTTTCTTCATATGCCATTATAGCTTCATTGTCTGCCACTCACTTTGCGACCGTGTGCTGCAATCAGCTAGTTTATTATCCAGAGATACCATCAAACATATATCTGTTGGGAGTTTAGTGCTGCTGCTTACACTATTTCCCTATTCAACCTTGTATCTTGTTGATGAAAAAAAGGAGCAAATGTAACTTTTCTTGTGCTGCAATCCATGACAAAGGGAGCATATAATAGAAATGTCCTCGTCTCATCAGGCAGAGAGCTTCTCCAGCAAGGAAATGTTATTTTCAGGGTTTCACCACAATGGTGGATATAATAGATAGATTTTATGAAACATTTCCAATTTCAGTTCATAGTGACGAAGAAATCGTTTCATTAAATCAGAAACTCATTTTGAATCGTTCCGCTTTTCTCCCACAGATACAATGTGCTGCTGTTCGTGATGCTCTACTGCCTGCCGGTGACCTTTAACCTCACCATAGGCTTCTTAACTGGCAGGCGGCTTTGGAGAGGGAAGAAATCCACTTTCGCGGACCTCGATCCCCGCAGCGAAGCTCTGCACGCCTCGCGCCTGAAGACGCGCCAGAAGATCGCCAAGATGGTGGTGTGCCTGGTGCTGCTGTTCGCGGTGTCCTGGCTGCCGCTCTACTTGGTCGACCTTTGGATCGACTGCGAGCAAAGGCCACCGTCTTGGCTCCTGCAGACGCGGCCGTTCGCCCAGTGGCTGGGCCTGACAAACTCCAGCCTCAACCCCATCTGTTACTGTTTCATAGGGGATCTGTACCGCTCAGCAAAAGTGATACGGACCCGCTACTACCAGAAAGTCGCCGCTCTGTTTGGCTCCTCCTCGTTCTCCAGCTCAGCCGGCGTGGCTTCCCCCGCCTCGGTGATTACAGACACCAAAGGGACAGCCACCGAGCGCCGCCATATTGCCGCCGCTGCTGCTGCTGCGGTGGCGTCGGCATCCATCGCTACAATCCCCAGGCTGTTGAGCTTGGCTCGAGGCCAGGGGCTGAAGGTCGTAGACAGCCGAGCAGGGTCCCACCACAGCATCTCAGACTGGTGTCGCTCCAGTCCCAGTGTGTGTGACAGCTCCTTGTTTCCCTGCCAGCTCCACACACTCCAGCACTCCATACAAAGCGCAGACCTCCTGCCCGCAAGGAGACACTCAGTAAATGAGAGCGCGGGATCATTACCTTTAAGAATCGAGTCGGTGGAAATAGACGTGCTGCCTTTGAGGAGGCATTCGGGGGGCAGAATATATAGTATGTCAGCTGATAAGAGAGACATCATTACCATGGGCAGGGATGCTCTTTGTTACACCAGGCAGCACAGAGGCAAAACATCACAAACCTACTTTCTGGTAGGAGACAGGGAGGATGACACAACCGAGATGACCAGCCTGTGAAAGCTGCAGCTAAGTGCCAGCAGGGAGGTTGTTTTTTCATCTTGTCTGTCCTGCAGGCAGAAAAAACACACACAGCTCCTGATTCAGTTTGCAGCGGACAGTGCGGGTTAATCCCTTGCAAAGGCAATTGTTTGTCTTGAGGATGAACTGACCTGGCCTACACACTCCATCTGTCTCTGTGAAGTATTCTCTCACTATCATCACAATCACCGGGGATCTGGGATCGACGTTTGCACAGATGAGTTCAGGTTTTTGAAGACAAGTGGAGGGAGCAGTGATGGAGTGAAACCTACAGGGGAAGAGTTGGGGGGGGGGGGAACTTAGTCATATCCTAAGTAACTGAGCTGCTTGTCACAGTCGTGCTTAAGACAATGACCCAGCAGGACGTATCCGTGTTCTTTCTTATTGCTTTGCTAATGTAGAGACATACTGTATCAGGTCTCTACAGGATAATGTCACCATCAATGTCTGCAATCTGTGAAAGATATGTACCCCAGCTTGTTCATGTGGGGAGTCACACGGGTGATTTGCAGGGAATGTGAGATAAACTGAAGCAGAGAATCTAAAACCCACACACACAATGAATGGTTTTGTTTTGCATATAATAACAATAATAACAATAATGACATTGCTATTTTGGTATGAAATGACTTTCCAGGTCCATCAGATTTTTCGAAAGCTAGACCTTGTCAGCCAAAACAAGCCGTTTTTCTTCATTCAGAGGGAATCTTAAGGGTCGGCTCACCTAAAAAACGACCAAAAAAATGTTTTTTTTTCATGACTTTGTGACTGAAGTGGTTTGTAATCACGGAGATAGTTTTGGTTTTATTGGCCTGGTGGTGACTTTTCTGATGCCACCTCAATATGTCATTTTGGTAATTACAATTGTGTTTAGAGTCTCAGGTCACAGAATTTAATAATTGCTTTCAAAAAAAAAATTGTAATCAACTTCAAAGTGCTTTTCCAGAATCGGTGTCCTAGCCTGATAATGAATTCCCAATTTACTTTCACTTCATCATTCACTGCAATTTCGCCTGGCGAGGAGCAGTTAACATTTTTATGTCTCTATAGAATAAATATGCCACTCAAGGGGGCCCAGTGAATTTTTCTTTCAAAGGAACAGTGTGTAGCATTCAGGAGATCTATTGGTAGGAAATTAATGTAATATTGTTTTTTTATATTCACCTGAAAATAAGAATCGTTTATATCAACAAACGGAGCGTTTGCTCTTCACTGAGCCGGCTGCCATGTTTCTTCAGTAGCCCAGGTCCATGGATGTATGAAGAGAACTGGATACAGCGTCCCCGTTCATTCCTGTGAAAGGTGCATGAAGCAAAGAAAGTCAGTATAAAATAACCGGATCTTTTGGCGATCTTCCGCATTCGACCTATAGAGCAATCGCACTAGCGTTTTCTTTAACACCGCCTCCCATCCCTTGGTCCAGCCTCGTTATCGGGCTCATTCACATAAAGGGAAAATATCTCTGGATTTGACTATTTGTGCATCTTACAACTTTTAGGACATAATGATTTAAATAAGGACTATTCTTGTGTTGGTTCTGGGAATTTAATTTAAATTACAGACGTCTCTTTCCCAATGTAAGTCTGTGGGAAGGGTTAGGGTTAGGCATCATGTGACGGACCAGGAAAATGTAATACCAGTGGCAGGCCGTGCATTTCATACCTGGGCCTTCACTGCTGTCCTGCAGCTGAAACACAGCTATGGTTATTATTTGTTTCGTGTAAAAATGAAGCTCAACACCTGTAGATAGAGTGCGTCTCCTCTCTGCTCTGACTGCAGCGTGAGGCTTCTGTGGGCGGCGGCGGCGGAGGTGCTCACGGCAGCACCCGCTGCTCGTTCGCGACAGTGCAGAACGTGCGTGCTTTAACGTCGAAACACCAGAAAAGTCTCAACACCAGAACAAGTCGCTAGATTTGTCACTAGTAGCTTTTGACAAAAAAAAGTTGCCATGGGGGTTTGGAAAGTCGCCAGATTTAGCGAGAAAGTCGCCAAGTTGCCAGCACTGGCACCTGCTAAATGTGTCTCCAGAGCAACATTGGACATAACAATGGTTCCTGTCACATATAAATCCAAACAAAAATCTTCATAAAAACAAGTTGTACAAATAATAACATATAAACAAGCATATTAAAGCTACTGCAGATGTAAAAACAAACGCAGTTCACTTACCAGAGCTGCTGTTCACTATTTAAAGACAAAGTCCTTCCTCCTTTCTTTGTCAACAAAGAGTTTAATCTCACGGTTGTTCAGTACATCCGTGCGTTTTAGTTCCAGTAAGAAGTCCTTCTCGATTCATGGACGCCAGTGAAGACAGTCGAGCCTCCCCAGTTGTATTTCTTGAATACGTTTTAATGCGTTTGAGGGCTGAAAATGTCCGCTCGACAGAGGCAGCAGATATTGGCATCGTCACCGCCCAACATGTCAGGCTAGCCCACTGACCAATCACGTACTTGTAGGCCAGCTAGCAGGCTCTGGCACGTCAAAGAATACGCCCAACATGTCAAACTAAAGATCTGATTGGTTGAAGAATATGACAATCAACAATATCGTCCCCATTCACTTAAACTGCAAAGGGATTCACTTGTGAGTCTGCAGGCCTCGGGCCTCTGTTCTTACCTAGAGACTCAGAGGTGAAATCTGATTGGATAAAAGCTCTACTTAAAACAAGCTGCACTGGAAGCAGAGCAACTGAAGAAGACAGTAGCTGTGCAATGAGAAAATAAGATAATGGGAACAATATTTGTATAACTTATAGTACATGTAGTGTATTTAAGAAAAATTATTAAATTATAAAATAGCTATAACTTTGTGATTCTGTTTAGGCCAGCAGAGAAGGCTTGCAGGCCCTGACGGCCCACTGTGTAATACCACTAAATAAAACTTACTTCAAAGCTCGGCGCTCTTCCAAGGGGGCTTGCCCTGAACGGCCAAACCAAACACTGGCTCTAAATAGGAGCATTTGCATTTTTCGTGTTTTCACATCAGCCATTGTTGTTCTCCTACACGCTTGGCACACGGGAGAAGTTTCAGTTGGATGCAATCTGCAACCTCACCACTAGATGCAGCCAGATCCTACACAATACACCTTTAAACTAAGTCAACAAAAAAAAGAAACTTTTTGTGTGTCTTGAAGCCAAACGAATAAGTGGAATGCATTTCCACACTAGACTGCAAAGCCGATTGTTTTGAAATGTTTTAAGTGTGCATTGTTTACATCCTTGTTTATTTGCGAGCGGTCTTCTTCCCCGTAGTTAGCTGGCACATCGCTGTGTTTTAGGCGCGTTACTGCAGCCTGTAGATCAGGATATCAATGTTTTTGCTACTGTGGATGATACTTAGAACCCTTTCAACAGGAATATCTATCGATTGTAAGGTTGTTCCTGTGAATATGAGCGCCATTGCATTGGGGACAAATTAAACCAAACTGCATGTCACGAAGCCACCAAAGGTCTGACAAAATGTTTGCAGTTTGGGTGAGCGGAACCTTAACTCCTTTATTTATCACATTGACTGTACTGTGAATAGCTACAGAAAAAACCAAGAGTATATCAGTTTTAGTATTTGATAACAGGAGAGTTTGGAGACACACTGCCTGTTTAACCAGCACATGCCTTGTTGAGCAAAGAACTTAAACAAGGTGCCGAAATAGCTTTAAAGGTTAAAGAAGTAAAACATACTCACACATGCGCAGATGCATGGACACAGACAACCAAATCTAATCTACCCTCAGGCTGCTTCCAGTTGTCTGCAAGACAGAGGTGGTGAATAGCATGAACTCCTGTGACATCAAGCTGCTAATCACACTCTCGTCCTCGCAGCAAAAGTGAAGTGGTGAAGTGATAAAAAGTAACACTCAAGGCATCAAACTGTGTTGAAACTCTCCTATTTATATCATTGGATACGGTTGCTTTGTACCTGGGGAACTCTCAATGCCATTATGTTGTGACCGTGTCTTTCCTCTCTCTTCTTCTCTCTATTCTATCATCTACCTCTCTCTCTCTTTCTCAGTTTTGCACTGTGTCAATAGAGGCTATGTGTACTGAATACTGTGCATTTGGTGTTTCATTAAAAAAAAAAGAAAAAAAAAAGTGTCTGTCTGTCTATGGTCACCAGAATTTTAGTTTCAAACATTCAAAAGATAAACCAGCATTATTAACTACATGTGAAGAAGTTACAGATGTCTATGTATTGTGTTGCAGAGATATCTACAGAAAAGAGCATGCTAACCTGTTAGCCCCGGGCCATCCTGTCTTGTAATACCACCTGTACCTCGAGAGGAGGTAGTGAGTCACTGTAGCCCCGAGGGCTTGTCCATTAAGGTGGAGATACAGGGTCTGTGTACTTTTTATGGTTTGTTTATTGGATTAAATTGAAAGTGACAGAAAAGAGAAAACGACTCGTATTTTTGTTCGTCCTCCTAGCTAGCCACTAGAAGACTACTGCACCGCGTGGAGGGCGGACGGCGACTCCAGGAGACGGACCTTTAGTTAGCGGTTAGCTGTAGCAACTTGCATTCAGCCAGCGTCTCATCCCCTCGACTCCCTATCGGGTCAGCAAACCTTCTGTTGCCGCCCGCTGTGACACTGGGGTTTGCGCTGGCTGAATATGCGTTGCTACAGCTAACCGCTAACTGAAGGTCCGCCCGCCCCCCTGCCCATCTTCACAGGGAGGACGAAATTAGATTTTACAAGTTATCTTTAGCATGGCCGTAATAAATGGTGGGAGGCCTGAAGTAGACATATAAAGGTTTCCTGCACAGTTCTTATGTCCACTCTTTTCTTGTTCTTCCCTCAGGCTTGATTAAACCTTAATGGGATCTGAATTTAGTAATGAGCAGCTCTCACTCCTTTATCAAATGAGTTACAGAGAAGTTGAAGGAGCCACTCAAAGACAGTCTCATTAAATTTTGTGAAACAGACATCGCACCATCTTGAATTTGATTAGTGGCTGCAGAATGTAGAAAAGTTAGTTAGGAGATTTCAGAAACTTTTGTTTGGATTAAGTTCAGGCTTATACAGAGGCAATTTGGTACCAGCAACTGTTTCTAGTCGATGGAGTTTCAGGTATGTTTTTTTTTCACTTGTCAAAGGCACTCTGGAGTCCATTCTAACTAAAGGTACGTTAACGTTCACAGCTTATCACTAAAAGGCATGTTGTGTATCCTTGAGACTTTACAAACAAGTTTGAATGCATTCCTTTCTGCATAAAACATTTGCACATTCGATTTTCTGTAAACAATTATATTCCCTGCATTGTTCCATACCCACGTGGCCAAAAACGTCAAGGGTACCTTCAACAAATCGAAAGCTTTGTCAAAGAAACAGTGAATGCCTCTAAAATCATTATTGCATCGTAAAGAAACCAGATTCTTCTCATCGGTCACAATGAGATTAGTACAGGAAAACAGCCGACAACACCAACACATTTCATTATCAACATACAGAAGGAAGTAAAAGAAAAACCTGAATAAAAGACTGGAGGAACGTAACAAATGCTGATGCTGCATGATCCAATTATTATGCCCTTGGCGTATAAAAATGCTGAGACCATCGGCCCAGTTAGACTTGAGTTGACTTGGATGAAGATGGCAAGAGCAAAAGATCTAAGTCACCTAGACGGGATTTATAATTAGGACACAGATGGCAGGAGCTTCAGTCACAAAGAAAAAAGTCATACTATATCTTCAGCTGAGTCATCATCCCTTGAAGTGGGCGAGTACATGTGTGGGCAACACAGTCCTCCAATTTAAGTAACAAAAAACAATTGTATCTTAACAAAGAGTAAAGAAGGTACATACAGAAGGAATAGTATGGTATGTGCTTCCTTTGTAAAGTTTGAAAGAAGTAATCAAACTGTCTTGTTTCGGACTACAGAGCCTCTTAGTTGATATATTTATACTAGACGCAACTCAACCCGTTCTGCATAATGTGAGTGGTTGAAGCCTTTATTTGCGGTGCGAAAGCTCGGAAAAGTCTGTCTTGCTCCGGAACAAAATTAAGTTGCTTTTTCACCACTTAATATTCACATTCAAAGTATTCATGGAAAAAACTAAATTAAAATGAAATTAGTTAGAAAGAAAAATGTTCATGCAAAGAAAAACCAAACCCGCGGTGGGTAAAGGCCCTTGAGCTAAAATCTTTTAAATTACCCCCCGCATCAATCTACATTCAATACCCCATAATGACGATGTAAAAACAGGATTTTAGCCATTCTACCCCTGTCTGTTCCTCCCCTGTGATTGTCTCCCCTCTGCCGTGTTCCCTGTTTTTTGGATGTTTTATTTTTGTGGACTTTTTGTGACTTATTCTTTGGACTTTTGATTCTCACATTTTGTGTTGAATACTTTTTTGTTGCCATTAAATCCACATTTATCCTACCCTCTGTTTCCCATGTCTCCCTGTATTTGGGTCAACGGTTCTGCTTGTTCCTCCCGTCGCATAGTCTTCAATTCAACCACAAAACATATATATACTTTTTTGAAATCACTTGTTTGATGAACTTTCCGGAATGTCAGCTTCTAACTGCATGTAATGTAAGTGAATCGCCATATTGTTTTTGAAGCACTCACAAGGATGTGATTGGCTAACTCACGCACACACACACACACACACACACACAGAACTTCATTCTACAATTTCAGACTCATGATTGCTTTCAATTCTCTAGATGTCTGGTCTTTTTTTATCCCCTCATCTTTTCAGCA